CACCTACCTCCAAAGATTACTGTGAGGATTAAAGAAATCATTCTCGGCATCTGTGCATGGAGCATAATAAACACTCTACGAGGGTTATGTTTTCATTAGCAGTAACAGTAGTAATATTGCTGTTATTTTCAATTCCCTAAATAAGCAGTGGAATTCTTTAATGATTTTATTGCTTACTTTGGTTATTTGATATTCATCTCAGAGTATAAACACCCCTGGGGCCTTTTGAGCTTCTTCACCTCAGACCCTTGGGATGCTCTTTTCTTCCCTTTCATTTTCTCCCTGATTTACTCAACAGGCTTTTGGCTGGCTTTCTCCCTTATAAGTTCCCTTTGTGAAATCCTTTGGAATTCTCTTCTCCTTCAATTTCAAGAGCTTGTATGTCCCATGGGTAATTGGGAAGTTAAGTAGAGAAAACTCCTCTTTCCTGGGGATTATCTTTACCCCAAACTATTGTCCTCCAGCAATAAAGCAAACCCACCCAGGTCTTCCTATATCCCAAGAGCAGTTTCCAATTAAAGCATACTACCTTTGGCCATCTAATCACAGATGGACTTGAAGTGTGTGTGTGTGTGTGTGAGAGAGAGAGAGAGAGAGAGAGAAAGAAAGAGAGAGAGAGTGTGTGTGTGTGTGTTTCTTGCCTCAAGAAATATTTTACAGAGAAGGTTCATAGAGTATTTTAACTGTAACATAAAAATAATAGTCAGTATTTACTGATACTACGTTCTAAAACCCAACAACCCTGTAAGGTAAGTATAATCATTCTACTACTTACAGATAAAGAAAAAGAGACACAGAAATGTAGGTGTACAAGAAGTTATGTCAAAAAAAAACAAACTTTACAACTTTGGCAGGGGGGGAAGGAGGGGAGAAAGGGGGGCAAAGCTGGGTGGGGAGATGGGAAGGGACGGGAAGGGGAAACAAAGGAGGAGGCAACAATGCTTGATAAGAAATGTACTCATTACCTTGCCCATGTAATTGTAACCCTTCTGAATGGTATTTTCCACACACACACACACACACACACACACACACAAAGAAATGTAGGTAATTGATTTACAATCACATGGCTATGAGCCTGAACCATAACAGACTATAGTGTCTTCTTGGATTTTTGGGGGGAAGGGTGAAAATTATTTTGATTGTCCACCCTTTTGCAGGCAGTTCTGTGCTGTGGGATGTTGACTTTTCTGTGGATCATCTCAGTAGGCTTCCAGTTAGACTGGGAAAAATGGAAGGTACCTGGGATGTAGGAAGGCCTCCAGCACTGTTCTTGTTGGGTCTGCAGCAGGATCTCACTGAGGACCAGTGTGAATGTCTTCCTCCTCTACTTTAGACTTAGAAACAATATAGGCTTCTAGATTCCCAGTCTTTCCCCATTTCTTTTTGGCTGCTCATAGCTTTTTCCAAACCAGAAAAAATTGTCATTCATTAACTACCATTTTGTCCCTTTGAATGGGTCATTTCATTTTTGCTAGAATGATTATTGATATTCAGCCTCTTAGAGGCTGGAAATGTTAACACTTATTGGAATGAGACCAATCCACCAGGCTGAGATGTCCAGAGAGAAGTAATTAGGGAATAAAGGGGTGTTACACTACACAGATGGGGGAGGTAGAGAAAGGATGAGGAAGTTCAGACACTGCATCTTTTCCTGTTTTACCTTTAACACGGGATACAGTACCACGAACATCCAGATTTCAGATTTGAACTTCCTCCAGCTGACAATTACTCATCTCATGATTACATGGGAGAGTGATACTGTAATGTCTTCGCTGTTGATCTGACTTCCACGGGAAACCAAGCACATCTTTTAAATGTGTTGTAGCTTGTGCTTCCAAAATGCAATTCCATATAGTGATTTACAGACCACTGATCTTCAGCCAGAAAATTTCTTTACTTTTGTTTTTCTTTTATGTTTACCAAAGATGGAAGAGGCCTAAATCTTCTACTCAGTCGTTCTACTTCATTGTTTAAAACATAACAGAAAGTAAAATCACTTTCAAGTTGGCTCAAGTGACTTGATACAAAAATCACTTTACCATGACAGGAAATGGATGCAGTAGGTGAAGAGGCCAAAACAATAGTACTGTACACATTCTTTAGAAAGCATACATGAAAAAAAAATCCCTGAATTAAGAGTACACACACACACACACACACACACACACACACACACACAATTCTCTTGAATTATTGTATGGTGTGTGGGTCTTCCCTGAAATTCTTGTGACTGTTACATGTGTAGATATCAGCAGATTTTCTATTTTCCTTCTAATTTGTAAAGTTTGTTTAATAAAAGAATATATATATATATACCTTCTAATTTGTAAGGTTTGTATAATAAAAGAATATATAACAATGAGAAAAGTAAAATGACTGACCTACCAAAACATTTTCAAGCACAGTTTTTAATAGTCACAATGCTTCTTATTAACAGAAATTACGATGTTGGTGGCTTACTTTAAGCAACATGTAGATTTACAGTTTCAGTAAGATTTCATAGTATCTTTTCTTATAGAAAACTGTAAGTGCTTCTTCAGTTTTCAGATTTATGCCCCAGGTTTCAAAAAAAAAGTAGTAACTCAATCCTACTACTTAAAAAGCAAAGCAGCAACACTAATGCCCTGTACCAGACCTCCTTTGGAACATTTGCCATGCATTATCTCATTTAATTCTAAAATGAGATTCCATTGTCAGCATTAAGATGGTAAGAGTGTTGACTTAATCCAGAGACTAGATTCTCCTCTTTCCTCTCCTTTATAATTGTTTTATTCCTAAATTTACACCAAGCTGCCAGACTCAGATCACAGTTTTGCATACATACAGGACAATATGTAGGTAGAAACCCCTGACTAAATGCTCCTCAAGTCTCAGTGGCAGAAAGTAAATGAGTTACTCCTTGTAACATATCTGGCCAAGGGGTCCAAGTTGCTGATTGACAGATAAATCAAGACATAGTCTGTTAGCATCCAACATAATTGTTTTTAAAATACGCAACTTTAGCAAGGGTTTTATTCTACTCCTGATCTGCCAAAGTTGTATTTAAAAACCAAGACATGTTAACCATCTAGGAGATGAACACTAAACAAGCCAGAGCATTTAATAATATCTGTCAAATTTCCTGAAGTTTCCAGAAACATTTTGTTAATTACTATTTGTTAACTAAATTTGAGGATCTGGTCATTTTGGCAACTTTTGCATTTTTTAAGAATTTTGAAAAGGCATGCAGACTATAAAATTACAAATTATACTATTTATCTAATAAACTATGTACTTCTAGAAGGCTTATTTTTCTCTGTTTAAGACAGCATTTTCAAGTTTTTGTAAGAGGGTATGTGTACATAAATGAAGTCAAAGTCATGCTTTTTTCTGGCTCTGGGCCCAACTACTTTTTAAAAAAAGTCCTGTGGTTCTTCTCATGAACTCAACCAACCTGCTTTCAGGAACCTCTATGCTGTCTGGCTGCTCACCACCACGTCTGTGAGCCTGTGCTTTCTGAAACCTCTAGTCCTGGCAATGAGTCTGCTCATCTCTTCTTTTATCCAGTGCCTTCTGGGAACCATACTATCTATTTACTGGACATGATATCCTCACTGGTATCAAAAGCCCTTCAAACCAAAAACCTCATCAACCCCCAAGCAGATGAAGAACTCACTAATATAGGAGAAAAACAATGCCGTGTCTCTCCTATACCCCACCTGATGCTGGTGACACTGACTAGAGAAGTTGGGATTAAAAACAACTATGGCCACCTGCCTCTTAGGTCCCTGAAACTCATGGACTCTTTCCTCATCACTTGTAGGCTTCTAAATTCTCATTCAAACATTTATGCAAATTAAGTGCTAAGGGCTTTCTAAGACCTTGCCCAGACATTTCTGAGTCACTAAGTTGTCACAGTAACCATGCAGATATAAACTTCCAGGTTCATATATATTCATGTGCATTCTAATGAATAGATATATGAATATATATACCCACATATGACTATATATACACACATATATAGTCTATATAGGGAATATATATAATATATATGCTTATATATACAATAGCTTATAGAGAGTACAAAAACATACATAGTCACACATTGTAGTGAAAATATTTTGAGAAATTGTTCCCTCTAGAAATATCAAATGTTCTTTTAGTTCTACTATAATATAATAATTCTTTAGTTATAGGACATCTGCTGTCCCATGTCATTCACAATATAAAGGAATATGTTATGAAAACGAATAATCCTTATGTGGATACAGAGATCATATCAATGAAATGTAGATAAGCTAATTGGACATCTTATCTTTTCCTGGTATGTTCCTAGAAATCTAAGTGGTAACCTAATTTATAAATAATTATAAAAATAATTATAAATTATATAACATAATATAAATATAAATTATAATTATAATTATAAATTAATAAATCAAGTTAAACATGAAGCAAAAAATTAAAAATTAAGCAAAGCAAATATTATTATCCCAAGTGAGGACAAATCAGGATAACATAAAAGAGAAAGAGGAAATCATGACAATTAGACCTATACCAAAGACTTATTTTATGGAATACCAAGATTTCCAATAATATCAATTACAGATTTTTGTTAGAAAACACTTCTACATTACTTACACAGTTTTTTTTTACTTTAAGCTTAGAGTCTCATTGGAATTTTGTTTACACTCTACCTCGATAACCAGTTAAGTCTCATTTTACTAGTTATTCAAAAGTCATTCATCAGTAATGCAAATAGACTTTACAAAACCACAAGAACTATAAAAGTTATATTCATACTATTCAATTTTATAACAATAAAATCTAGAAATACATGTCAGCTAAATCTGTTTCTCCACCTTAGTTCAGTATTGTTATCATCCTGTTTAAGCCCTGGGAGTAAAAGCTATTGATTAAAATTGGTTTTCAAATCAAAACTGTCACCACTGCATAGCACAACTGACATTGGTAAAGTAGCTGGCAATAAAGGAGATGCACTTTCTTCAACTCACCTCATTAACTTGCTTTTTGTCCAAATGAAACACTTGACCAGAACTTGTAGAGGCAATTTCTTCATAGACTTTATATCCAATGTGGTTCCTGTCATCACAGTCTCCAGTGAGCACAAATACAACCTGTGATTTTTATAAAAAGAGACAGTTCAATGGTTTCTAGAAATCAACGTAATTGCTGGGCATCTCTTCTTAACATATTATTAGACAAGCAGAATACATATAAATACATACATCTTAAACCTGTACTCTGCTTAATAGTGAGTCCAGAAAGGATATGCCTGCATGTCAGACAAATGGGCTAAAAGTTATGGAAGTGAGCCATGACCACATTAGATAACCCAATGACCTCCTTTCTTCACCTCTGCCAGTACCCAGATACTATGCCAAAGGATTTTGTACTTCTCCTCACTAAGTGTGATAGCTCATTTTCAATCTAAGCTTAGCCACATAACCTGCTTGGCCAAAATCATGAGGCAAAGACAACATTCTACAAATTCTATGTATCATTCCAACAGGCCTTGTGCATTTCCATTTGCTTTCTACTGCTTCTTCCAAGGTCATGAATGTTCTAACTAAGCTAGCTACTCATATCAGAGGCTAAGAAACCAATGGGACAAAGCCAATATGCCCAGAACCCAACTTAGATAAGCCAAACCCCAAACACTCCCAGACTACCATTATGTAAGACTAGTTTAAATTAACAACACTTCTGTGAGAAATAAATGCTTATTGGCTGAAATCACTTCATATTAGGACCATATGTAATGTGCCCAAAGCTAACTGATACAATGAATAACTGGCTCAGGCAGGACTCCACATGGGAGATAATAATGGAAATAGAGGACTTTTTTGTTAGGCTTAAGTTTCTATCCATTACAAAGATAAGATTGTAATGAACATCTTAATAATCTCCAATCATTTCTTCTCTGTATTAAACAAGACACTCTATGATCTATAAACTTTATATATATATATATATATATATATATATTTACTATGGTAAAACTAGATAATATGAACATGCTGATACAAATAAGTGAATAGTTACTGCTATGTACCACACATGGAGTAGACAAAGAACAGGCATTGTCATGCTTAACTCAGAAGGAAAGTTTGGAATGGACTCTACTCACCTGAGACTGTTTCTGTTGGATCAGCTGCAGCACCTCATGGGCGAGCCGGTAGTCCTTGGACCGTGCATCCGTAAAAACATAGATGAATGAACCAGGAAGAGAAATTTCCAAGGCTATTTTTATAGCTCCAATACTCATCTCTGGACAATCACCACCACCCTGTGAGCAGAAAGCAAGATGCACTCACTTCATCAGCAAATGAAGAAGGAGAAAGAGGAGGAAGAGGAGGAAAAGCAGGAGGAAGAGGAGCTTCTGAATATTTCAGATAAAGCTAGTTGTTTTAAGAGTTTTCAAACCAAACAAATTCTTTTTGGTTTTACATCAGTTTGCTACTAGATGAATCATTTTAGTCAGGAAGTAATGGGGATGCTATAAAATGATGTGAGTGGAAATGTGTGGCTCAAATGGGAGAGTATCAGCCTTGAGCAAAATACAAGCAAAAATGCAAAGCCTTGAGTTCAAGCCCCTAAACACAAACGCATACACAGATACACATACACACACACACACACACACACACACACACACACACACACACACGAATAAGAAAAGCCTGGACTTTTAGTCGTTATAAATTCACCCCAAATATAGAAAGTGCCACTCAGATATACCTATGCCTTATATATTCAAGTGCCTTGTATATTCAAATGTTGAAACAAAACCATTCTGCAATTCTGCTTGACAGTATATATTTGAGTGTGAACCATACAATACAAATTATTCATTACATAGTATTTGTTGTAGGGCCAGATTTGCAATACAGCTTCTATGGTAGTATAATTCTGTGTGGATATTGTCTGTTAGTAACTGTCATCTAGTACCATGGAAAGAAAAATCTTCTGCCTATGAACCAACCATCAGATCTCTAGAAATCCATGTAGGGAAGAGAAAACAAAATATGAAAAAGAAACAAAGAAAGATCAATCGTGTCCAGCAACTAAGTGAAAGATAGACTCTGAGCCATTTAAGTACAATTTTTTTTCTAAAAGAGCTATCACTGCTTGAGAAACTTCTGTATCTATAAACATATCCCTTTGAGTAGATTCTAGAGACTACTAAAATCCCCCAAAATGACTCCAGTTGGAAATCCATCCCACTGGGATCCCTCCAAAACATCAATTACATTCTAACATTAAATGCAGCTTTTACAAATGTACTGAAATGTGGTCTTGACTTTATCTACTTTTCACCCATAAATTTGAACAGCTTAAAACCACATATTGGCTGGACACTATTGACTCATGTCTGTAATCCTAGCTACTCAAGAGGTTGAGATATGAAGATTGTAGTTCAAATCTAGCCCAGGCTGAAAGTTTGAGAGACTTTTGCTCCATTAACCAACAATAAACATGACATGAAGCTATAAGTCAAGTAATATAGCACCAGTCGTGATCAAAACACCTAAAGGACAGCATCTTAACCCCTGAGCTCAAAAAGGCCCACTATTTGCAAAAAAACAACAAACACATATTGCCTGTCATGGTAGCTCAAGCCTGTAAGTTGGATTTCAGAATCAGAGGATTACCATTTGAGGCCAGACAGGACAGAACATTTCAAGAGACGCCATCTCAAACAATAGCTGGGGCAGTGGTGAATACCTGTTACCCTACCTACAGATAAAGCACAATGGTTAGACACAGTGCTGTGCAGCTGCCGTCCCCAGCAACATAAGAAAATATATGTATGAAAATCACAGTCTAGGCTGTGCTGGGCACTGGCAGAAAATAACCAAAGCCAAATGGGGGCTCAAGTAGTAGAACACCTGTCTTGCAAGTACAAGTCACTGAGTTCAATCCTTAGTACAATATTCATATTATATTAATAAGACAAAAAATGTAGGCAATCATTCCAATATTCTTCTAAAAGTAAGGAATGCCCTTTTACAGAAGGATTAATAGAAGTCTCAAGGTACCTAGAAAATTTGGATAATAAAGTTAAAAATCTTTGACTCATATACATCTGAAATCCATACTGGATTGTGCTTATAACTTAATTTCTATTATTGCTATCAGTGTACCTTTTTATACTTTATCAAAAATATTGTATAATGAGAGCACGACAATCCCCATTGCTTTGGGCACTCATGGAATATTGCTCCTTTTTGTGTTATTGGCTTGAGTTATATTATAATGCTCATCTCTTTCCAGTTAATCCCTATTTATCAAAGAATTTAGTAGATATTCCATTGTTGTTCAGTGAATGAATGGCTAAATTAATGAGTAATGATTACTAGGTGTATGACATTGTGCAAAGCAGTCTTTGTTTATTTAATATATATTTTTATTGTAAAGATACTGTACAGAAAGGTTATAGTTACATGGGTAAGGTAATGAATCCATTTCCTATCGAGCATTGTTACCTCCTCCTTTGGTTTCCCCATCATCCCTTCCCTCCTCACCATCCCAACTCTTCCCTCCCTTTCCCCCACCAAAGTTGTAAAGTTCATTTTGAACAGAGTGTTTTGTACATATCATTGTTACAATGAGTCAACCTGTATCCTTGTTTCAGCATTTTGTTATTTCCCTTCCACTCCCCAAATTAGAAAAAAAATGTATATACAAGATGCAGGGCACTGGAATCAAATACAGGGAAAACAAGGCCATGGGGGAAGAACATACAAAAGAAACAAAAAAAAATCATACAGTACATTATAAGCACATTAAAAACAACAAGAAAGATAAAACCCCTTGTGTCCCTACTTGGGGTTCATTTCATTTAGAATCATCTTATATGGTCATATGTCTATAGCTTTTGACCTTTTCTGCTTGTCCTAGATGTATACTAGTTATGGGCAAAGCAGTCTTAACACAATCTAGGCACACTTGTATACACTCTGAACCTTACTTAAACTTAAGCCTATTCCATTTCAAGTGATACAATGCCAGAGCTAAACTCTCTAACGGTGCAAGTACCAAAGTTATCCATGCACATAGGAAAAAAATAACTAGATGTGTGTGTATAAATGGAGAAATATATGTAGAGAGACATGTGTGTAAATATAAATATATATATATATATTCTAAGCAGTATATGAATTGAAATCATCTTGTCTTTGATATATGTGTGTATCCTGAAATATGCTCAGCTTTAGCATTTAACAGGAAAAAACAAACATGACTATCTATATTACGACAAACCACACACACCACACCACACCACACCACCCATGGAGATGATGACTGCATAATACATTGAACTGGAAAAAATCCTTTAATGTATATTAGGATGAGTCCAATATGTTTATCTTGTGTTCTTTCTTGAATCCTAGAATATAACTAACTTCGGTATTTTTTATCTTTATAATTCTACTAATAGCTAAAATATACTAAATTTCCAAAGATAGTTCAGATAAAAAAATGGAATAAATTATTTATGTGTGTATATATGTATTTATATATGTGCATATATGTATATACATGTATGTATAATGTGTTATGTTTATATACATATATACATACACACGCACGCGTGCGCACACACACACACACACACACACACACACACACATATATATATATATATATATATATATATCAGAGTTACAGTGATAACTATGTTAAACAATTATTCCTGGAAACCAAGACGAAGAATGAATAGAAATCCTGTCAGTCAGGGAAGTAATTAACATTGATTGTCACATTGCATTTTATAAACACAAGACAAGGTGGGGAATGGCACTGAGATAAACTGAACCATTAAACTCTAAGTTGGAGAAAAAACTGAGATCCTTGCTCAAGACCAAATGGGAAGATGTTCACCAGATGAAAAAGCAGGGATCCAGCATGGCCAGTCTCACTGAAGGTACTGGCTGGAGTCTTAATTCTCTTCTACTCAACCCACTTCAATTCTTCTACCCTTGTATTCCATTTTTACTTTATACTAATCCTTTCCTAGGTATGCCTCACATTAAGTAATCAAAATATGGAACATTTTTGGTAGGCCAATTCCAAGACAAATCTTACTAGCATTACAATGCTCATTTTTTTATCCTAACGTCAATGTATGATATTGGGTTTTGGACCCTATTTTCAAAATTAGATGATAGTTCTTTCACACGGAATACTCATTTGTAAAATACCTTGTTTAATCTGTCCTTTACCTAGAAAACGTTGGTATGAAACTCACTTAGAAACTGAAGATAAAAGCAAGCAAGCAAACAAAAAAGCCCTTTACAACCCTCAGTTCTCTTTCTGAAAATATAGTCAGTGACTCCTGGGCTAAAGTTCAGACCAAGAAAATAAACTGTACATGTGGAAACCATTAAGTTACATTAAGTCTAATTTAAAGTTGTGTCCAAAGCAAGCAAGTCTAATTTATATTTAGAATATAAATTAGAACAATTGTAGAGTTCATCAGTGACTTGTGCTAGCTTTCACTGCCATGTGTCCCATGAGACAATGAGAACATTGCAGAACACAAACCCCAAAGTCCCAAAATCTAAATCAGAAGAAGCTGTGTCCCCAGGAGTACACTAAAAGGGTGGACACTGCTACACAGAGACCTAATCAACATCAAGTAGGTAGGCTTCAAAATACAGCCTCAGTGAGTTGCTGGCTGCAACTCCAGACACATCAAAGGTAACAAACATTGCCATGCTTTCAAGTTACAACCTGTCACTCAAAATTGTGTAACTCTTTCAGCCACTGATCTTCCAAGTTGCTAGAACTTCCTTTGTTTTTAGGTAAAGTAAATCCTTTTAAGGTCCCCAAAAGAGGTTTGGTTTTTTTATTTCAAATATCCATAAAGAATGAATTATGCTGGTGGCTCATGCCTGTTATCCTAGAGACAGATCTGACGATCATGGTTCAAAGCCAGCCCAGGCAGGAAAGTTCTAAGACTCTTATCTCCAATAAACTACTCAGAAAAGGCTGGAGGTGGTTCTGTGGCCCACGTGCTAGAGTGCTAGCCTGGAGGAAAAGAATTTCCTCAAAAATTTCCAAAGGAATTTCCAAGAATTTCAGGCACAGTACCCAGGACCTGACTTCAAGCCCTAGGACTGGCGCAGGAAAAAAAAAAGGGGGCAGGGGGAGAAGCATTATATACCAGGCCCTCAATGTCTTCAGTAGTAAATCAGAAAATGATGGGCTTTAATACTTCAAAAATTCAAAACATCCTAATTCACATAAATCAGAACAGACAGTGGTCCTCTGAAGATGGGG